ACACTCTCGTCACCTCAAGCTGCTACCCAAACATTGTCTATGAAGGACATGTCGTCTTACAGGTACATTAGAGCATAAAAGACAATCTAAGATGTGAGGGTGACGTTTCTGTGCTTGCATGGTTTGTGGGCAAAGTGTTTTCAAAGAACAGTAAGGGCGCAGGGGCTTAGTTTAGGAGTGGGTTCGCTCGCTGTGGAAATCTGATAAACCTGCTCTGAAGTATCACAGCCACAAATGTAAAGATAAACTGAGAATGCTTCTTTGTTTATGTGTCTTTGTCTATGTTTATTTTCCACAGGGCACGGTTCGAGATTACACAGCCAATTGCACAAGTTAGTCACCTTCCTCCCACATGAGCAATATTCTGAATATTTTCTTCTCCTTTTCATATCGTGCGAGGCTTTTATGACTTTTCTCTCTTTCTTTCACAGCTTCCTGCCCTGCAAAAGGTCTGTTTGATGGAAAAGGTGGGACAAAGGTCTTAATCTGCATAACGTATGATACGCATGCTGGAAATTTTCAACCACACGCATCTTCTGTTACTTGGAGTAAAATTGCTGCAGCTGCAAAACCACAGACAGCTGTCTTTCACTTTCATTCTTACAGCACAACAAAAGTCGTGCATCACAGAACTGGAATAAGTTTTGAGGAAACTGTTTTTGTGATTTGGTACTAGGGGAGTCCTGCTTGACTGAAGTCCCTCCTTTCATGATTGCTGTTGTGGTTATCCTGACAGTCCTGCTGCTGGCAGGCCTCACGGTGTGCCTCGTGCGCTCTAGAAGGTATTCTTTTAATTGTGTCAGCATATAAATGCATCACAGTTACCTGACGTGTTTTAAATAGTTATTCTCTTGTCACTGAAGAAACAATGGTGTGCCCGTGATGCAAGACTCCGCACTGCAGAGGAAAGTCCGAATACCAGCTGATGTGGAGACGGGAAATCCAGAGAGCAGCGTGTAAAAGTTTCTCTGCACATGCTGGATTCAAACTTTGTGTTGATGCCTCTGCAGTATTTTATTAACGATATGCGTCCGTTATATATCTTTGTTTTTCTGTGTTTTTGTCAGGCAGTTACAGAAACTCAGCAAAGAGTTTCCACTCAGGACCCCCAGTATAATAAATACGCTTTAATGATAAAGTCATTGTTTTAGTGCATTAATGTGTAAAATGTGTCCACTGGGTCAGTAGATCAGAGCTGTAATGGCCCTGAAAAAGGCCACTTTCATGACTTCATGGGCTCTTCTGCTACTACCGGGTTACCAAGTAAGAGTACGCCATAATTTATTAGAGGATTTAAATTTTTATGAGACAAAAATCAGCAACTTAAGCTTTAAAATCAGTGGAGTGAATGCTGTGTGCCTCTTTAGACTGACCTCCGCCTGCTGCAGGTACCGGTACTAGAAAGAAGGAGCCTGCAGCAGTTTACAAGAAAACTCTGACATTTAAAGTTGCAGCACTTTATCTGTAGATGCACTTGGATCCCAATGGGAGCAGCTGAAGACATGATTTTTCTTCCCTTTTAAACTATGCATGCAGACAGTTTGATGAAGGGCTTTTATTAGGATTTTAATGTGAAATTTACGATGGCCCAGAGAGATCAAATCCACTGGAACTTGAAGAAACATCCACAAGTAGAAACACAATCATCACAAAATTGATGTGAGATTGTAGATACATGTGTGCTATTAGCTGTTTGCTCTCCGTTTGTTCTTCCACAGCTGCTGCGTCACGTTATTGTCTCACTTCCTTGTTTTCCAAAGGAAGTGCGTTTGACCTCTCAGGGCCTCCGTAGAAAAGTTTGTAAGAAGAGCTGGTTTGCTTTGTAGATGAAATGTATATTTAACCCAGCTGTATCGCAGTGTGATTTCCTTTTGTTTAAAATCAATAAAATCTTCTGTTTGTGATCATGATTTTGTCTTTATCGTGTGTTGTGGGTGCAACTTCTTTCTTTTTTCCACATCTTTCAGGGACAGAAGCTTTTCAGGTGAGAGGGAAAATTTGGTTCAATTCAATTTTATTTTATTTATTTAGTGAAAATCACCACAACAGTCATCTCCAGGCCCTTAATATTGGAAGGTAAAGATCATACAGCGTACTGTACAGTAATTCAGGGAAACCCCCAACAATCTGATTGCTCCCTATGTGCAAGCACTGCTTTGGCAGTGGGAAGGAAAATCTTCCCAATCTAACAGGAAGAAGCCTTCTGCAGAACCAGATTCAGGGAAACAGGACAAAAGACATGCTGTGGAAGAGAGCCAGAGATGACTGATGATTAAATGCAGGACCCTAAACGTAAATAAACAATCGTAAAGGGGCTTCATCAGAGAAAATCACTTTACCCCACTCCTCAGCAGTCCACTCGCTGTACTTTTTGCAGAATATCAGTTCGTCCCTGATGGGTTTTTTTGGAGAAGTGGCTTCTTTGCTTCCCTTCTTGACACCAGGCCATCTTCCAAAAGTCTTCGCCTCACTGTACGTGCAGATGGACTCACACCTGCCTGCTACCATTCCTGAGCAAACTCTGCACTGGTGGCACTTTGATACCGCAGCTGAATCATCTTTAGGAGATCATCCTGGCGCTTGCTGGACTTTCTCGGGCGCCCTGAAGCCTTCTTCACAATAATTGAACCTCTTTCCTTGAAGTTCTTGATGATCTGATAAATGGTGCAGTCTTAGTAGCAACCGCATCCTTGCCTGTGAAGCGCTTTTTATGCATCGCAATGATGGCTACATTTGTTTCCTTGTAGGTAGCCATGTTTAATAGGAAGAACAACGATTTCAAGCATCACCCTCCTTTTAATGCATCCAGTCTGCTTTTCTAACTCAGTCAGCATAACATAATGATCTCCAGCCTTGTGCTTGTCAACATTTTCACCTGAGTTGATGAGGACATTATTGAAATAGGTCCTTTTATGGCATGAAATGCTGAATGATGAAATGTAGTGGAAATTGAATTTCTGAGATTAAGTTCATTTTCATGGCAAAGAAGGATTTTGCAATTCATCTGATCACTCTTCATAACATTCTAGAGTACATGGAAATTGCTATCATAAAAACTGAAGCAGCTTTCTAGAAAAGCTACCTGAACTCTAGTAACCCTCACGTCAGTTCCAAGGAGCTAGTCTGACAATACAGTGAAACAATGAAGGGGATTTTTTGCTTTTTGCTTTGCAGTTGTCTCTGTAACTCTGCTGATGAGCTTCTGGGAAGCTTGAAACAATGTGGGCAAGGCCGCGCTCTATTTGATGTCTACTTTCACGTGAAAGCACCTTCTATACTGCACATTACTCACACTGAGTCTCTGATCCTCAACCTCGTTGCGGTCTTAACTTTTTTT